TTTGTTTTTTGTTTGTTTGTTTTTCTCTGGGGAGTTTGCAGTCTAGTCAGTGTACAAATACAGTAAAGGAGGCTACAGAGAGTGTGACCAGATGGAGAAGTTCAGTGAGTATCTATTCCTACAATGATTTTTGTTGGCTTTTAAAAATATTTATAGGGAAGTACTTTGTCATGTAGTTCCTTATTCCCAAGTTTACACTTCTTAATAACACGCATTTACAACTTAAGGTGTTGAAACATATTCAATTAAAGAATAAAAAAGGTCTTGTCATCTTAATCCTCCTATTTTTCCCTTTCTGTTCTCCTGGTTCTCAATATCATATTCAGCTGAGCTGTCAGAACAGAGGTGTTACAGCTCTGTCTTTTTAGCTCTGTCACCTTTGTGATGTGTTTGCCAACATCCAACACTCTTGATCAGCCCACTGTGAAAATTCCTACTACTGTCTTCATTTTCCTCTTGCTTGGAGTGCTATAATTCAAGCTTTTGAATACTTAACTACTGTAATACTTAATAAGAGCAGTATGACTGCAGTACAATGTTATAACCTGCAGTATTTTGGATTATGACTGCAGTACGCTTTAATTTCTAAAATGTGTGGCAGCTTGTTCTCTTCGATTGCATGTGAAAATTTGAATTTGTTAGCATGTTTTGACTAGATTTCTTCTTCTAAATCAGCTTGTGTCAATAACAGTTAATAGCTCCCCAGGCCTCAGGTTTGGTGGCACAACCTCAGCTGTGTTTTCTATGATAAATTCCTCATTCATTTTTAATTTCAGATTTATTTTCTCTTTAGGTCAATGATGCTATTGGCAAAAATTTAGATTGCCTATGTACTTAAAAAAGACTTATAATAAAAAGTTTAAATAATAAGGTTAATAAGTTAAAATTAGGTTGAATTTGAATGCATGCTAAGATTTCTGACAAGGAGAAAAAGTACATTTTTATAAATGCAGAAATTTGGTGTCACTTAATTTTGCTGTTCGAGAAGTGATTTGAGTAACTGAATTTGATCAAAATTGGACCTTCAGGTTTATATTGATTTGAACTGAATTATTTTTATTCAAATATATCATTCATTAGTCCTTTGCATGTACTGTTAAATATTTAAGGACTGCATGATTTACGAGAGACAAATTGAAGAACATAATGGGCTAAACCCCCCGATTTTACAGCCCTAACTAATTGACCCATAGTCAACTGCATACATAAATGTTAGCATTTACATATTGAGCTACTTGCAGGCATAGTTGGATAGAAACCTTTCAATATTGTCATGCACACCATCTTTTAGGCACAAAAATTAATTAAAATATATTTTTTTCAAAGGCTAAATGAATTACTGCTCTGCAATATTGAGGCAGTAAAGTATTAAAAGCATACTAGGCTTCTGCTTTATTTTTTGTAATGGAAATGGAAGAAAATGGAAAAGTACAAGACCGGTGTGCTATAGACTTGATTTATATACAACTGTAGAGCAATTTTAGGGCCAGAACTCTGTTTTATTGAAGTTGAGTGTGGGTTTTGCCTTTTAACTTGACTAGAGCAAAAGGTTGGTCTTCAGTCAGGACTTGTGTTGCATCCTGTGCTGCAGCTGTGCAAGGCAAACTACAAGGACCGCGAAGGAGAGAGAAACAGTGCCTCAGGGAGTACCAGAAAAGAAGCCAATTGAAGTAACAAGCACTCTTGGGCCCTCTGCCTGTTTAAATTTCTGGTGGAAGCAATGGGCCTTGAGTAAGCTTTGGCTTCATGAGTGAGCTTTAGCTTCGTAATTTGCTTTGATACTTTTCACGCAGTTTCCATTTCCTCTGTCTATGATTTTCAGCCTTCACCAACCACGTTTTTGTTCACTTAGACTTAATCTCAGTTCGCTATCTTAATGCCAAAATAATTCTTTCGAGATCAGAGAAGTGGTTTGTGATTAAGCCACAACCTGTGGACTTTAAGGCCCTGTTTGTACTAGTAAGTCAAACAACCAAGAACTCTGTTCTGTGGCCCAAATGTCACCTGAGCTGGCATAGCTGGTGTCCTTGCAGCTGAATTCTCATGATCAATTTGCAGCGTTTTTGCACAGTGCTGTGCAGAATCAGGGACTCGTGCAGGCTGGAAGAGGCCTCGGGGGTCTCCAGCCCAGCTCTTCCTCAAGCCAGGCCGACAGCAGGTTCAGCCCAGGCTACTCCGGGCTTGGTCCCGTCAGGTCTTGGATCTTCTGCGGATGGAAACTGCAGTCTTTCTGGGGAGGTAGCCTCTTCCAGTGCTTCATTATCTTCATAGTGAGAATGTTGCCTTAAGTCTAGTGCGCACCTCTTCTGTTTCAGTTTATGGTGGTGATTTCTCAGTCTCCTGCACTATACCTTGGGATAGAGCTTGGCTTTGTCTTATCACTAGCCTTCTCTTAGGCACTGGAGGGCAGCTATTAAATTCCCCCCAAACCTTATCTTCTCCAGGCTAAAGAAGCCTCGGCTTCTTCTCACAGGGCATATATTTATTTAATAGACTAAACCTATGGCCATAGTATTTATTTATTAAAATTTATTAAAATACTTTAAAACATTTGTTGATTTCTGCCCTTTTCTGTGTGTCACAAAAAAAAAAGATTTTAATGTTGGAAATAATCTTCCAAATATGTTCTGTCTGAAAATTTAAAACACCTGATGATTTTAAATGATTTTTTTTTTTAAGATTTATGCTTCCTAGCCACCAAATACATTCCCAACAAATTAAGAGCACTGATCCCTACTGTTTGTCTAATGTTTTGTGAGTTTAAAACTCAGCTGAGAGAAGATGATACAGCATGTTCAAAATTACTCCAGGTTTTCATAGGCTTCTGAAAACATCTTATTTACATCCCACTTACTGGTCTTGTGTCATTTGGTGGTAACACAAGAATATGTACAGCTGGAAAGAAGGGGAGGAATTCCTCCTTTTTTTTTTTTTTTTTTTTTCTTGGAAATAGCCATCTGGTGCCATAGATTGCCCTGCACTCATTGCTCACTCATTGCCCTGCTCCAGTTCCTAGCAAACCTCATTTCTTTTTTCTTGACACTCAATTCCTGTGTCAGTTTAGGACATTTACTTGTCTTTGGTGCTATGTGGTTGCATTCCTCTGAAGGAAGTATTTCTTCAAGGTAGTTATTTATGACATATGTTTTGGATTTACAGCAGAATCCTCAATGCTTTTAAGATAGAATTAATATAGCTGAAAATAAAAGATGCAGTGCTTATTGGATATTCAGCATTTACAGCCATATGCAAGGCTATAATGACATGGGAATTTAATCTCTCATAGTAATTTATTGCAATCTGTACATGTTTCCTTTTTGTTGCATGTGCATATGGCAGTCAAGTTTTGGTTGTGTTGGTAGAGTTCTGGCTTCTAAGACAGACAGATTGAATCCCTTAATTTTCATGGAGCACCATTCCAATAAGCTGTCCTTGAAATTAAATAGTAAACTAATTCAAGGGAAACTTTTAGAAATACATTAGATAAGAAAAGTCCTGACTCATTTTTCTGATCCAAAGGGGGCATACTTTTTGTGAGACCTAGACCTACCTCTACTGGTAGAATGAACATGTTTTAACATGAAGGCAAAATAGCTTAAGATGTGGCCTACTAGTGTGACTTAATGTGTATGGCTTATTTAGGTATGGGAAGTTCATTTGATCGTGATAATTATTGTCAGGTAAACAAGTCATATTGCAGACAAGATCTAGTCTATTTTATGCTTGCTGCAATAATTACACCATCAGCTTTTAAGTCACTATTTTACAAGCAGCATGCAGACAGGTTAGGCAGTAGAATATGTTTGTATTGCATGTGCACATTTGTTTTTATAACAGAAGAGTTATCTTTAAACAGTTCGGTGAAATTGAGTATTTTCTTTACGATGGGTTCAATTACTATGAAAAATCTAAAGCTTTCCAGATTGACCCACATACTGGTCAAATCTGTGTGTCTCAAGATATTGACAGAGAGGAAGATCCAGTTACTTACGATCTCCTAGTCAAAGCTACAGATGGGGTAAGTTTCACCCTTCCTTTCTGCCAGACTTGTAAAATGCATTTTCAAATTTGGATGTGCTAAAGATTTTTGAATGAGGATGGAATATGAAATTTGAGTGATTTTGAATTAATTTATTACTGCTACAGAGGGCAGAATTGATATTTTAAAACCATAAAATACAACAAAACCAACAGGAGTCATTTTGACCTGAATTGATATACTTCGCTGTGAAAAGCACAACCATTACTAAACAAGTAGTTCAAAATCCTTTCCAGGAACTGTTGATCCTTGCAATTTTCCCTCTCCTGTTGGAACTGCTGAACTCCTTTTTAATTTTGCTTGCTGTTTTAAAGATGGTTGCACCACTAATAAACCAATAATTTGTTTATTGAACAACTGCATGGGTAGAGTGAGTGCCAAAAAATATTTCTAGAGGCAACAGGCACAACACAACAGACGTTCTTTTATATTAACAGGACCTTTAGTACTGTGCATATATATACAGATGTAAAAATATCTTTTTTTGTTTGTTTGCTAACCTACAACTGTGTCTTACTTCAATGTGTGATAATTTCAGAATTTAAATCCTTTTTATTAGGACAATATCACCAATCTTTCTTGCAGACATGTATTTCTGTGTCCTTTTTGGAATTTCATTGTGAAGCAATTTCTGTCTTCAGAGTTCCTAGCATACACATGAACACACATTTCCAAGTCCTGATTGGTAAAGGAATCAATATTACAATGTATAACAGAAGAAAATTATGTATTTTACTATGTTTCATCTTTTTTCTCTCGTGTATATTTAATGCAGACTTTCCATTAGATATAGGGCCTCACATGTTCTGAAGCCTGCAGAATACATACAAATGTAGGGAGTATCAGGATTAGCCTTACTAACAAAGGCTATGTAGGATCAGAACTGTAAGTTGTATAGGTTTCTCATGGCCTTTTATTCTGGTCCAGAAGAGTATTTTGAAAATGTAAAATAAAATATATTTATTTGAATAAGGTATGTGCGTATTTTGGTTTATTTATTGCCATAGTGTCATGGCAATTCATGTCGGATTGAATTTTTATTACTGGAACTCTGCACTTTGTAGCTCACATCTAATTGGCAGAAGCCAAATCAGTCATCTGACAGCTAAATATTGAAGTACCTAAGATCAATATTCACTTCAAAATTTCCACTATACCTGAAGTGATGCTGAGTCATATATCACCTTTACAGCTGAATTATGGTAGGATAATTTTATGTTCTGGCATTCTGCTGCTGATTTTGATTGATTAAAAACATGTCAGGTATGAAGTTCAAAGTAGAGACTGTGATCAAAAGCAGGGAGAAATGTGTTGAGAAAAGACAGGAAGAATGAGGGCCATTGTTTTTCTTTAAAGGGGAGGGAGAGAGATGAAAAGGAAAGAAAATAAGAAAGTTAATTAGAAGTGAGGAGGAAAAGAAAGTATTTTCCAGGTGGTGCTCAGTTTATCTTACAGCAAAACTATCAATTTCTTCCACCTGTTTATCTACTCCATTACATGGTTTTAGAGCTTGACTTCCTTGTTTTTAATTCACTGTTTAGAAACAGTAATGAGAGAACTAGAATTGCCTGGCCCATGGAGGGGCAAGTGTAAAACTGATTTTGTTAAATGGATGCTTGTAAAATCTCAACTTCTTGGGAGGCCTTGTAGAGGGAAAGTCTCACTGTTTTAAATGAGGACAAGGCTGATAATAAAGTTGGCACGAGCTTTTTCAGTTGGCAGCACTCATTTTGATCCCAAAGTCACTTATTGTCTCATACGTATTTGAAACGCTTCTGTGTGAAAAGTAATCGTGTAAGTAGTGATCTAGAAAGGTATTTGCACTGAATCACAGAGCGTCTGCGTGTTGTCCTCCTTTGGGGTCTCTGTCACGGGCTGTGTTCTGTGTGCGGATGCTGCCTCTTGCTTATGACTACGGCCAGTTCAAACAGTGCCTTTAAGTCACAGGTACGTGCTGTTGTGTTATGTACTTGCAGCAGCCCAGAGAGTGAGCAAAAAAAAAAGATTTTCTTAATAATTATGTTGAAATTGTAACTTTTTTACTCTTGAAATAAAAGACAGATGAAGACATTTTGCTTGGAAAACCATCACAAATATCTGAGAAATCAAATCTTGCAAAAAGAAAACATGGAATAACAAATTCTAACCGAATTCTTAACATGTTTTCAAAAGTGAAGCAAGGGGCAAAATTACTATTTTTTAAAAACATTTATATATTAGGTCCTGTGTGTGTGTGGTATGTTATTTTTTGTTTGTTTGTTTTGTTGTTGTCTTTTACAACATGGCTGAAGTGAACTAAGACCCTCCACATTTTTTCTTATTTGCTTGGTGGTCTCCAAGCTGTTAAATGTGTAACTTAATGCTTGTTGCTTATGTAACAGTGTGCTTATTTTTGCTGACATAACAGTTGCAACTCAAATCTTACTGCTATGCATAAAACATAACTCAATCTTTTTTTTGGGGGGGGAGGGGAGAGGGTGGGTAAGCCACACTGCATGGCTTGTTCAATTTTCTTTGTCTTTTATGATGCCACAATTAAAATGTAGACATAATCACTCAGTACTGATGGTAGAGCTTCTAAGGAAGTTTTTGAAGTAACTGGTGGTGTCTTTTTCCTCTCATCATGACAACATTGCAACTTGTCCAGTTGGCACAGTATCTTTTAGGTTTTACAAAGAGAATATGTCTTTCTATCAGAGATCGTGTATATCACAGTTCAACTAGGAACAAAAATTGACAGCACAATTTACTGATGAAAAGGTGGCTGTCCTCAGTGGAAATCTTGTCAGATTCTTAAGCATTTTACAGTGTGTCAACAAAAAGAAACACAGTTATTCAAAGTAGCACCATTCCTACTTATTAAGATAAAGAGTCCCCAAGGGCAGGATAAGATTTTTTTTTTTTTTTTTGAAATATGACAAAGAGGTATACTGATAGCTTTATATCTTCTCACAAACCGGGTCCTAACAAAGAAAAGAAAATTACTACTTGTGGTTATCTTGACTTGGTAGTAATTTCTTATTTCCCTTTTTTCTTCCACAAATCACAACATATCGCATCAAATCTTATCACATCAAATCTTTACAGTTTTGACAAAAAAAAAGAGAAAAACTGTAATTGTAACTTCTTGTTGCATCAGAAAGCACAATAGCAGTTAAAAATGTTTGAGACATGATTTCAAAACAAGCAACTGTGTTTTGTTTTTGCTTATAACATGTTTTGACAAATGTAGTTTTCTTTCAACAACACATTTGTTTAATTCTGTCTTCATATTTTGGAAGATCCTCTGTGTCATGCTCGCTTCTGAACAGATGAAGTACATCCATGTGGCTAGAAATAGAGGCAGTTGGTTCCCTCTCACTTGGGATGTTACTTGAAAATTATTGTAGCCAGAGGAAGTTTAAAAAAGCAAAAAGGTTATTTGATATCCGCAGTCCTGGGCCATAAACAAGTTTGTGTCTCTCTTGACTTCTATGCAATGGGGATACAGTTCTTGAGGAAAAGCAGGATCTGTCTCCATCATAAAATTTTGTCTGTCTTCTGGAAGATCAAATAGTAAGTCTACAACTTGCTCAGAGTTCCCAAAGATTTTAGTCTTTACTTAGTTCCATAGGATAAATATAAATCGGCTGGGGAGTGGGATGTTTTTCATGTCTGTTTAGCAATAGTGACACTTGGAGGAAGGACTTTAACACAAATTCCCATGAGTTTTGCTGTTTAATTCTTTGTGAACCTCTTAGTATTTTTTGATGCTTTTTTTTTTTGCTATTCACCTCACTTCTTCCTTGGCACACTTCGCTTAAAAATACTATTTCTGATTCCTGTTCTAAAGTACCTGCAAGCTGTGGAGTCACTCTGCTGAAGAGCATCTGCTAGTGGGCTTGAACACATAGGATCCCCCATTTCGTCCCTGTGCAGAGATTTCCTTCGTGAGGAAATTCAGGCTTCAAGTAAAAGTTCATCCTGAAAGGGGATGGGGATGTTAGCAGGAGGCCCACAGATCTCCGCATCTCCTCATCTTATAAGCAGCAAATCATCTCACGGCTATTTCAGCATTTTGAGGCTGGTGCTGGCATGGTGCACCCTGCATTCCTGGCCTGGAGGTGCTCGTTCTGCCTGGTCCCATGTCAGCATGAAACCTGGATCAGAAATCACGCCATTCCACACATTTCCTTCCTTTCTTTGCAAGAAAACCCAAGCATAGTGGGAGGAAGTGGGCTGCTTTTGCTAGTTTGCATGTGAAATATAGAAGCATACTGTGTGATACAGTCTTAATTTTTTTCAAACTTTATAGCTTTTATAGCAATGTCACTGCCACCCAGCAGAGAGATGATAATAGTACTACATGGGAGAAAAAAAATGAAAGCCTCTGTGAAAATCCAGTGAGCTCTTTGATTTTTTTTTTTTATTATTTTTTCCACAAAGAAAAACAAAACAAAGTGAAGCCTGTGGAGGGTAATAGGCAAAACATCAACAGTAGTTTTGGGGATATATTTATATACTGTAGGACAAATCTAAAGGAGTGTCTCGTCTGAATCATTAGGTGGCATCATGAAGTCCAGGTTTAAAAATATTTGATATATACTGTTAGTTTTCAGAAATATGTAGCATCATTTTTTTAATGATAACTATGATATGGTGGCTGCAAGGTTATGTTTGGAATATCTCAGCATAGCTTGTCATTTATGCTTCCCAACATTGGCTTTGGGTCAGCATTTTCTCTAAATAACTAATTCATATAAGCACTGTGTTCTTGGCATGGCTTTGAGAGTCAAGTTTCTTTTCCATCTATGCCTTAATGTGCCATTTACAGTGTATGCAATATATGTGCGTGTATATCCTTTCATGCCATTCTATACCTCAGTGCCATAGGATTCATTGTTGGCTGTTCCAGGGAGCTGTTTTCTTTTAAAGAATGTCTTTAGTTGTTACACTTGCACAAATAACTTTGGAAATATGAAGCACTCCAGACTGATGGAGGGTCAACAGGGAATATGAGATGGTGGCTCTGAAGTGAATTGCCATTTATTTCGTTGAGGACCCTTTACTGTCTATGCTTCAGCAGCCATGGCATTATCTTTTTTTTTTATTTTCTCTTTCCTAAATTCTTCTTAAATTTGGTGTTTTGCCATGGCCAGCAATGATTTTGCTATCGCATAATTTGCTAAACTAGCTTGCAAGTTGCTGCTTGTTTTTCTGGTTTCCATGCAAAGCAAGGTTAAGTGGGGATCCATGCCTGCCCACACAGTGCTGCAGTGGGGAGGTAGTCTTGGGTGGGCAGCAAAAGCAGAAGTTTCAACCAAGTGGAGATCAGCAAAGCGGCCGGGGCTGGAGGCTGTTAAGAGGTAAGTTACACATGAGCTGCACGCAAGGTCTGGCTCTTTTCCCAGCTGTTTGTGAAGGGGAATAAAAACAAGAGCCAAGAAGTTGAGCCAAGCTCTCTGGAAAGCATGGCAAGATCTTCTCTCCTCAGAGTTACAAGTAAGCTTGTGAATAAAATTACATAATGTTTATAAACTTTACATCAACAGGTCTGTTCAGCTAGGCATTTCTGTTGAATTTGGTAGCATTCTTCCTCTACCTATGCTAAGTGAAGGTGTGGATATGTAGACATACATACATACATGCTGTGCATGAGCAGAGCTGTTGGCCATTCTGCACTGGTCTGCTCTTAGCCTTTCAATTCAATATTTGAAATGCTCTGATGTTCACTGTTATCATGGTAATGCTCTTAAGTCAGAATTTTTTCATAAGTGAAATGCTTACTGGAGCATTTTCCATAACCCCTACTGTCATAAGTAAATAATAAAATAGCACAGTCCCTTCAGTTGGTGGATGTTCTCTCTCTCAATTATTGATTTATATCAATATGTCATTTTATTTTAGTCAAAAAAAAGTGAAACTAATAAGGAATTAACATGGATAATACTCATTAGTATTAACAAGAATTTTATGTTCACGGCTGAGAGTATTCAATATTTGAACTATGTGTATCCTGTTAGGTAGTACACATGTTTTTCTGAGGATATGTTTTGCCTAAACTCATTATTTTGGGATTTTGTAGATACTTCAAATTATTTTTAGCAAATATTTCCATTGCTCATCTGTACCGTTGCAGTATGTTCCTTATTCTACTAATGAGCTCAAGCCAGACTTGTGTCATTCTACTATCTACATTTTAAAAACTGACAGTGTTTTCATTTTTTTTTCTGTTTTATCCAACAGGGTGGACTGAGTGCCCAAGCTTTTGTTCGTATTGAGATAGAAGATATTAATGATAATCAACCTACTTTTGAACAAGCCACCTATGTGACAAGCATCAGCAGTCACACACAGCCAGGAACAGAGATCATCAATGTTGTTGCAACAGACAGAGACTCTGGAGTATTTGGAACTGTCACCTATGAACTTATCCCAGGGGAATTTTCTTCTCTTTTCGCAGTAGATTCTTCTACAGGTACTGTGAGAGTGTATGATTTAGCAAAGCTATAATGACAGCATGTATTATTTTTTTCTTTGAAGATGGTTTCTTTATTTGGGGCTATGTCATACAATTGCAAGCTAGATTCTGCTAGTTAGTTTTAAAACATCCAGCTGCCTCGCTGTTTGACTTGCTGATTACCTTATTGAATGTTTTTTTCTGCCATTACTTCCTGTTACAATCCTTCCAAATTTTGGTTTCTGGAAAGAAGTTCAATGAAGGGGTGACAATGAAGATAGGAAAGCAATTTTGGTAAAAGTTAAAGTAAAGGTAAAAGGTAAGGTAAAAGTAAAAAACAGGTGCGTTTGTTTTTTTTCTCCTCTCTAAGACAGATGGATTTCACAGTCATCACTTTTCACATGGCCACAAACCAGTTGGGTATATATTTTTTCTAATCTTTAATAGTTATCTCTCATTCTATCTAATAAATCTTATTACCGAGGAAATAATTATCACTGTCAGATGTATTGAACACAAGTGGTATATTCACAAATGTGCATAATATGTTGAAGAGATTGCTTAGTTAAACCATAGCTAACATTTTTACTTGAAAGCCAGCCCTTTCATACTACTATGAATACATCCCCATCAACAGTATTGCTTCCTGATCATCTCTTATTTGGATAAATTAGTTTTGACACAGGCAATTATTTCATATGTTTTAAAAAGATTTAGGGCTGTTGTATGTGTATGCTTATATTAGCTCTTTGCCATATGAATTATTGTAAGGCCCTGTTCTCTCAAAATGGTGCCTATTTTCACCCTCTTACACAGTCCCAAAAATATTCTCATGAAGAAAGGAAACTAATCTTAGTAAGTTGGCCTGCTTGTCTTGGCTCTTTTAAAATTTTAACTTTAACTGCGGACTTCAACTGCCTTTCAACTCTAGAGTATAACTGAGGCCAAAAATATATAGGTCAATCAAGAATTAGGGAACTAGATCTCTACAAGCACTTAAGCAATCACTTTAAAGCAGCACCAGTAGGCTTGTCAGAGAAAGCCCCTGTGGATTATGCTTTAAGATTTGGCTTTGATTTGAGTTCTTATGTGTTACTACTTGTTAAAATGGTGACCTTTTCCAGTTTGCCATTCGCTCAAGCTGTTTCCATGCTCCCTGACATATGCCCTCATTTATATTTGCTTCTCTAATGGTTTTATTGAGGGACTTTATCCAGTTGTTAGGTGGACTGCACTTTGTGAACAGAAGGAGATGGACAAATATGGCTAGAAAAAGAAACCCTTCAAACAGAAAGGCTAGACTAGAAATTCTTCAGGAGATAGAACACCAAACCATATTTTTCTCTTTGGTGTTTTGCTCTTTGCTGTGGAGATACCATCTGTGACTGATGGGTTATGCAGTTTTTCCCAATCTGTAGTTGGCAAATCCTATTTCATTTCCTGTTTTCACTACTGAAGGACTTAAAAGGAGGCATTCTGATGGTGTTGGACTGTCCTGTGAAAATACCATCCTAATAGGTTTTAGCTCTTAAATGGGTAATTTTTCTCATTGACAAGATATACAGAAATGAGGAATGATAATCAGTACATTGGTCTTTTGACTTTATCATAGTCCTTAGGATTATAGGTATAAATGGCCAGAGTAATGTTTCCAGTATTATGAGGTGTAAATTAATTACTAGTTAATGGCTTGCCACATCATAATAAAACTATGATCTATTAAAATCTTCATGCAAGGTGAAGCTGCTTTCCACGCCATGTATGATTTCTATTTTATTGAGTGAAGAGCGGAGATTTGAAAATTGAACTCACTGTAGTTTTTTGGGGGATTGTTTTTGTAATGTTGGTAAACATTACAAAAGATCAACATTTTTCTCTCACTTCTTTCATATATATATTTTTAAAGGATAAATGAATAATGGAATTAAAAACTATAGCCTAAATTCTTCACTAATACAGCTTGTTTCTGGCAGTTGCTCTTCTAAAGCAAGTGTGTGGCTGTATGAATAAAATTTAGTTTTGCACAGTGAACTGTTGTTCAAAGTGCAGGGTATACACAGCCTGGAGATCATACAAGATGGTCAACAAGTGACAGTATTTTGGAAATGTAAAGATTATAAGGCTGAGAGATGGTCAACAAGTGACAGTATAGAATATGTTAATGGTGCTTTGGAAATGTAAAGATTATAAGGCTGAGCCACATCCAAGCTCCAGCCTGAAGAGGTTCCAGCTTTGTTTAAGGCACTGTGGCATGTGGATATCATGTACAGACAAGTTTAGTGGAAGTGGGAAGGAAGAAGTGTTCACAGGGCAGATAGATACTCCATTAGAAAGGCAGTTTGAATTTTAAAAAGCTCTTAAATAGTGATACTTATTTGCTATTTTGGCTTTTAGGTACTGTATTGCTTGTGATATACTCTTACACCCTTGTAAATAACTTTTACTACATTTTCCGTAGAGAAATAACTGGAATACTCTGTTTATCATTTCATTAAGTATAGACTGTCCATAAGATAAACCTCTTTAAAATGTCTGTAACTAGAAAGGTACATGGATAGTGGAACTGTTAACAACTCCTCTGCAAGCTCGTGACTCTTTTATTACCATTTATTTCTAGCGTTGATGTAAACAACATCTTGGCCTTCTTATATTTCCTTCTCTAGCTATTTGATCCCTGCACGATCTGTGAACAGTACTGGAGGACTGACTAGAACAGAGCACATTGAAGAGCTCTTTTGGCTAAGAAACTCTCTGAGCTTTGTTTATTTTCCCATTACTTATTTATAATTGTGGGTAAACAGATAATTAATAATGCAAGTCACATGATGCAATCAGAAATGTGGTAGAAAACCTCTGCAGTGATTAAGAATTTGGGATTAATAGTTTAACTTACAAACTTTCATTGTGTTACGAGCATTAGTATTTTCTTTTAAGGGTGTATATTTTTTTTCATTTATCTTGGTGATAGCCTTTATAGCTGGATAAAAGATGGTTATTATCTAATTTATAGTATTGATTCAATGAACCTGTTTCAAATCACAGAATTAGTAGATCTGGTCAGTACTTCTGCATTATTATTAGTTTTTTAATATAGAGTACAGTTTCTTCAAAATTAGCATTGTTTTGGGAAATGTTGATTTGCTAGAATTAGTCTTAGAAGACATGTGAATCAATCTAGGAGTTTGGTCCCTCCAAGAAAGGAAAATGACAGAAGTGCATGCAAATTTAAGAACATAAGAATTTCTAACTAAGTCAGCCTAAAGGCAGATTAAAATCCAGTATCCTGTGTGTCTAACAGGGTGGTAATGAATGCAAAAGGAAGGGTTAAAAATAGAATGGTTCCTCCACTGGTTTTTATATCTTAGAGATTTTGGCAGTGCTCCACTTAGTGCTTTGCTACTTCCATTACTGTCGTCTGTACCATATGTAAATGTAACTTTATGTCAAACTGGCCTAAAATTAAATGTTTTGATCTAGAATAGATTCATTCTAGTTAAAATGTTGACAAATTTTGTTTTATTGAAGAAAATTGAATCATTGTTTACCAATCAAATCCTGGGAGATCTTTGTTTCATGAAAAATTTTAGGTTTTTTTTTATCACAGGACAAATTGAAAACATCAAAACATTCCCTTTGGGACAAAAAATTCAAGTTTGCTTAACTCTACATGCTATGTAATGCTTAATATATAGAAAATTTTAATCTGCATCAGTGTAAAATGGAGATGCATTCTTTCTGAAGAAAGCAAAGCCGTTTTTATGATGATTAATGATGTTTTCATACATTATTATAGTAAAAATAGTTTATTTTTAAAACACTTTTGGCATCTTCTTACAGTATGTAGTACATTTGGAAAACATATGAAGAGGTTCACATAAAACAACATTTAAAATTAGGAGTGTTTTGTTTTGGAACATTTTGAGGCCACATTTTTTTTTTTTACTTCAATGACTGTTTTTCTGACCTTACATAGGAAATTGATAGCATATTCAGAATGCTGCAAATCAGAGGAATATATGTAAGACATTGGATTAACCCACTTAGTTTTTGCCTTTTAAGACTTTTACTCAGGTTAAGTTAGAGAGGAATCGCTAGTTATTCAGCTGAAGAATTAGTGGTCATTTGTCCCTGCTGGGGTCTCATCTATTGAAAAAATCTAACATACAGAGCACCAGTTGCAATATGTTTTCCTTGAAGCATACAAAATTTGCTCTAGTGAGTATAAGAGCACTAATTTTGGCCCTGGAAGAAAGCTCTGTAGCAGAACAGAAGAAAACATACATACTGCCAACTCTTAATAGGTTTGTCTTTTTTTATTTTTATGTGGAATAAAATTCAATAGAATCAACCATTTATGAGGAGAAAAATCGCTACAAGCTACATGCCAAGAGTGGAACAATGCAATAGTGCTGTCACATCTGTATTCAAGATTCATTGTGCACAATACAATGCGAAGTATTTTCAAAAATACTCTAGCCTACCCCCTCTTTCTTTTAATTGAGTCCATGTCAGATCTCAGAAACAAAAGAATTCACCAAATTAGACAAAGAGGAAACTCCCATGGCATTCCAGTGCCACAGCTCTTTGTCTCTGCAAGAGGCAGATGGCGTGTACAAGAAAAACAAAGAGGGGAAAATTACACCAAAACTTCCCCTTTCAGAGGAGAGAAAAAATACAAGACTTATGCAGTAAAATACAGTGAATCAACAGTTTTTCCTCTCATAGAAAATATATACACCTTTTAAGTGCAGAATATGAAATAAGAAATTATAAGTTGGTGCTAGCATTTAGCAGTGTTTGTTCTTGTTTCCCCTCCATTTCAGCTGAGCGAGGGTCTAGAGGTATTGCCTTTCTGATCACCAGCTATAGATGGATTGCATTTGCACTTCATTTCCCCTGTCTTCATCTTGCTGTGTGGTTATGCTTCAGGAATATAACAGTCTTAGAGCCTTGTGGTTGGTTTCTGTGGAAAAGTGAGGGCTAACCTTCATGTTCTTGGTTAACTTAAAGAAAAGCAG